CAAGGTCTCAGTCTGTAGTGCAGGCTGACCTGGAATTCACTATATAGCCCAGGCTGGCCTACTATCTCAGACGCCTAAGTGCTGGAATTGCAGGTGTATGCCGCCATAACTTTGATCCCCTTACTCGTTTCACACTCAACATATGAAATTCCGTGTGTGTGTGTGTGTGTGTGTGTGTGTGTGTGTGTGTGTGTGTGTGTGTCTGCACATATACAGGTCAGAATAGGATGTCGCCTTCTTCCTCTATAGCTCTTGAGACAAGGCCACTCACTGAACTAGAAGCAAGGCACCCAGCATGTTGGCTGGTCAACAGATTCCTGAGATCTAACCTTCTCCATACCCTAGTGCTCAGGTCACAGACTCACATAGTCAGGCCTGGATTTTTATGTCGGTGCTTGGGAATCAAATTTGAATTGCCATGTTTTCACAGCAAGTGTTCTTATCCACGGCACTGTTACCTCAGCCCTGAAGCGCCTAATGTCGAAGATCCTACGTAAATGGCATGTAACTCATCTTCTAATTCTTCCCCCTCCCTTTCTCCTGCCTTCTTTTTCCTTTGTCCCTCGATTTCTAAAAACAAAATTACCCCCCCCCCAAAAAAAAACTAATAGGGTAGTAGAAATCCGAGATAGCACTACACAATACCCAGAGACACGCGAGATTTAATTAGATAGCCCTTTCAAAAGTATGCTAACGTCCAGGCAATTTGGCACGCATCCAAACTAGAAAACTTGAATCATTTCTATCTGTTAGTTTGCTAATTTTGAGCTTTAAATGCCAAAAATAAAAAATGAAAAAAGGAAGCCAGGAAGCAAGACATAATATTCATGCCTCTAATCCCAGCACTCTGGAGGCTGAGGCAAGAGAATCTAGAGTTCAAGGTTAGCTTGGGCTATATAGTATTTCTAGACCAACCTGGAATACCTGTCTCAAAAAAGTAGGGAAGAGATCAAAGACAGATGACGAAGTTATTATGCTTTTGAAAACTTCTTTGTAACTAGCTTAAATATATACATCCAAGTCTCAAATAAAATCTTGGGGGATCAATCTCTCTCTCTCTCATTCTGCATATTCTCTCTCTCTCTCTCTCTCTCTCTCTCTCTCTCTCTCTCTCTCTCTCTCTCT